TACTCTCGAGAATCTTCTAAAACTTTGGAGAATAGGCGGGAGTTTCGCAATACATGTTTAACACAAAAAGCTGAAGAGGAAGAGGTCTCAGAGTACCTGACCCTCCTAGGTCACAAGACCTAAATTCCGATCAGGAGATCAGGCAGCTACGCATGTTTTAAAACATAAACTTAATCTAAACAAACGTTGGTATTAAAATAAATATATAATAACAAATTCATTACAACTGTTATAACGTATGCTGTCATAGGGCAGGTTCTTATTGAGTTATTTGTTAAAACATAGTGCCAAGTCCAAACCAGGTAATGGTAACAAATTTATTTGTTTCTTTAATAACGTTTACTACAGTGTAGGCTACGCTCACTTGTTCTTTGTAGGCCTATCTTCGCAAATCACGTTGGAACAGAAATTCCGAGTTTAATGGTACGAACTACTATCTCACAAAAAAATATTTGCAAATTCCTCACTATTTCATAACAAATACGTCGAGTAACTGAATAGAGATGATAACTCTCACTCCTAACATTAAACTGAATTAACTAATCACTCAGTCATTAACTCACTGATTTTCGTTTTCATTATCAGCTGTAATTGCTTCTTTGTACATTTACTACTCTAGTGCCATCTGGAGGGAACTTAATATAAAAATATTTTTTTGTCCAGTTACATGTAGGTGGTGGTGCTATTGCAATTGATAGTAACTTAAGTACTCTGTTGTATCAAAAATCTGTACGAAGTGTTTGAGTGGTGAAGTGCGTGTTTTTGGAAGACCCTTTGCTTTCTTAAATTACATAAAATCTTTAATACGCCTTTAGATTTAGAAGTGTTTTTGAGGATTAAACTTCGTTTCATGTTTATTGCACTTGCCCAGTCATGGGAAATAAGTCCTCATTAATGCTACAGGAAGAAGAAATAGCAGAAATTCAAGATGAAACTGGATGTAAGTAAAACTAACTTTAGTTTGATAATTGAGTTTTGTCTTGTTATAGAAATAGTTATTTTATAACTTAGTGCAAAGGAAGGGCTGTATAATTCATTTTAAGAAGTTACGTTTTAAAAGTATAGCAATGCATGAATGCTTATTAACGTTACTAATACTAGTAATAATATTAATATTATTAATACTAGGACTAAAGTCGTAACGACAAGGTAGACTGTAGCACTGTCACTGTACCAATATCACTAATAGTAATACTAGTAGTAATACTAATAATATAATAATACCTGTTGACTAATACTATAGTAGTAGTAGTCACTAACAGTTAGTTGGTATTATTGTAAGCTAACAATAACGTGATGAAACTTCTAAGTCTTACCCATGTTGAGATTTTCCTGTAAAATTTTAAAAGTTGGATATTTGTTTTCCTGCTTATTTTAAAATAGTAAACTAACTAAATACATAAATAAAGGCAGAAGTGCTTGACCAGTCTTTGTAATTCCATTTTTGGGGTATCTTTTTAATTTTATATTGTAATTGTATAAAAACTTAACACTTTTAATTAACTTACATTCTACTTGTAGTTCTAGTATTACTATTAGTAACTAACAGTGAAGCATCATGGTAACAAAATACCAATCACAGGGAAGTTAGTACCCAAGATAAGGATTTTGTGGAGATTTTTGTAACTTCTAAGAGTTAAAATATTGTAGTACAGTTATTGAAAGGACAAATGTTAAAATAAATTAAAATTTCCTTTACTCTTTTATCTAATTTACTTTCCCAAGAGATAGAAGCTGAAGCAGTATCTTCTGATTCTGAGAGAAGTGAAGAAAGCCCTTTTGAATGTGTAGACTTCATTTAATTTCACCATAATTAATGTAATAGACATTGTAGAAAAAAGTAATCCTGTAAAGTGGAAAACGTGAATTAAACTGTTTATTTTATCCCACGCATGGTGTCTTAACATTCACAGGAGATTATAAATTGATATATCATCTTTCTCAAATGCATTTGTCCTTAATATAGTGACTCAACCTCTATGTCAACAGTTTTTAGTGCTTATATTGTGACATAGCTTCCATGTTAAGAATTACAGGTGCGTATATAGTGACATAACCTTAGAGTCAATATGTACAGGTGTTTATATAGTGACACGGCCTCTGTGTCAAGAAATACAGGTGATAATGACATGGTCTCAGTGTCAGTACATACAGGTGCTTATAGTGATACAGAATTGAGAAAGATAACTTATTATCCCATGTGAACGTTAAGACAGTGTGTGGGACATAAAATAAAAATTTTAATTTATATTTCTGACATGACAGTATTATTTTTTCTTTAATTTTTATAACATTCATTTTAATAAAATCAAATTCAGTCTACACATTCAAAAGAGCATCCTTCAGTTCCTCTGTTTAATAAATATTTTTCAACAGCTGTAGTAAAATATTTTAACTCTTAAGCAATATTGAAAAATATCAACAAAATTCCCAATTCTAGGTGTCTAGAAGGTTTAAAAATAGTGACTGTGATATTCAGATTTGTTCATACCATCTTTAGGTTTACTATTTGTGTTTCACAATACTCTGTCCAAACACTCATGTTTCAGAACATTCATGATTTTTATATGGGTAGTAGGCTTTTAATTACAATGTTAAGAATAAGGTTATAGACAGCATGGACTCTACTAAAGCTAAACATAAATTTTGACACAGTAGGAGTCATCTTCATTTAAGACAGATTTATTTTTCAAACTGGGTGACCTTTGGAATGGGTTGCCTTCAGATGTGGTGGATGCAGTTAAATTAAGGGTATTCAAAGAAGGGCTTGATAAATATTTGAATGATAAAGGCTGGCTTTCAGTATCTCATTTCCATTTTAAAGTTAAGTGTAGTGGATGGGACATATATATGGACTAACAGGCTCTAGTTGTACTTAAATTATATGTGTGTGTGTACAAGTGTGTGTGTGTGTGTATGTGTATATATATATATATATATATATATATATATATTATTGTGTGTGTGT